ACGTGTGTGTGTGTGTGTGTGTGTGTGTGTGTGTGTGTGTGTGTGTGCGTGTGTGCGTGCGTGCGTGTGTGTGTGTGTGTGTGTGTGTTTGTGTGTGTGCGCGCATGCGTGCGTGTGTGCCTGCTAGTTTGTATACACGCTCGCGTGTGTGAGCGTGCGTACGTGCGAGTACTGTAAGCACGTGGCGTTTACCGTGATTGCAAGGATCAGTTTGTAGACGTCGTTGTCCTGCGCTGTGGCCGTGATGGTGAGTCGGTCGGTTTCCGTCACGACGTCAGTGCCGTGGAACCAGGTGATCTTCGACGCTGGCTTGCACTTGAGTAGGCACTCCATGCGCAAGATGCCGCCTTCCTGCTTGATGGCTGGCTTACCCTGGAACTGAGGCTTGATGGTACCCCGCGGTGGTGGTGCCTTACCTGCGAGGCAGTACACGAATGCATAGTTAGTTATACCACTGTAAGGAAATGCTACTCCTTAAAGTCCCGATATCTCTGCAGATCTTCTCTTATCTACTCTTTTTGTTCTAATCGCGTCTTAGCTTTTTTATATTAAGTAACGGACTTTTTCGGTTAGAGAAAGAACTGATGTTTCGTATAAGACTTTAATTTGTTGCGAATATTATGGCTTTGTTGCGATCGATGGCTGATTACAGTAGTGCAATATTGTTCTTTTATTTCTTACTGATGAGTAACGCTTCACCGGTAGCGCTATAGGCGTCTCAATATGTGCAATATTATATATGATTGTAATATGTGTTATTTTATGTAAACTGCATCTTAAAACTGCCCATAATAGTATCTTGCCTTTTCTGTAGAGAAACGCCTATCGATTACTCTCACCAGGGAAACATTTAATTGATAAGGAAATTGAAATAAGTGCAATGAACAAGCACGCACCACCAAAGTTAAGGTTGAGTGTTGCATTGGTCTCTCCAAGATCATTCTTGGCGTTGACTCTGTATTTTCCGCCATCTTCCTTTGCAATGCCTGTGATTTCTAGGCCAACGAGGCATATGTTTTTATCTTCCGGAGTTACGTATATGTTGTAACGGCCGCCATGACTGTAATGAAGAGAAACACAATTATGAAATGGTCTCCTTGCTCTGTCCAAATACTCATTCTCATTACATATTGCTGGCACTACGCAGGCATCTTAATACAGAACAAATTGTGAATATTATCGAGTAGATTTTTTTAAATATTAAAGTTGAGAGCGTAAGAATGAACCGAATGCAGATATGTAAGTTTCAAGAAGACTTTCTACATATTGACACAAATTTCATAAAAATAAACAGGATAGAGCGATGTGAGTTTCAAATGTAGTCTGGTTAATATTATAAATAATCTCATTGGAATAGATTCAAATATAGAGGAAATATATGATGACTATAAATGTTCAAATTTATCTCATGATTGTACGTTATAGAATTATTGCCCCCTTCATAACGGAATCATAAACATACCTATTCGCAGTAAATTAGCACGATGCACTGCTAAGCCGTAAATCTGTATTTATGATTCAATAAACCGATATAGATAAGAAAATGTAATATAATAATTATGGGCGGTGTTATGTTAGTAGAACATCTATTACCTGACAGGCTCGTCGTCGTGGAACCATAAGACATTGGGCTGCGGGTCAGCTTGAAGTTTGCAGCTGAATATTATCTTGGCGCCACCTGGCGCTTGCTTTATAGATGGCTTCTGGGCAAATGTAGGGGGAAGTCCTCTGCAAGGAAACAAGATGGCTGATGTAAATCTAGGAATAGTTTTTATTTTTTAAATCATTAATCACTGGCTACTATAGGTAAATACACGAAAAAGGTCTATGCAAGAAAATCCGACAATTGCTAAAAATCCAATTACTTTTTTTTTGTATTTGATCACGAGCAATAGTACTAGCAGACAGTGTCGAATTCGTTCCAACCATATAACATGTACTACGAAATATGTCTGACTGACCAACACGTGAACCTAAATATAGGAATCAGCATTGACTCTTGCAAGCACAACCAGTCTAGAATTGTAACTCGCGTCTTGAAATTTTGAAAAAGTTGCTTATATATGCAAGACACTATTTCACTATTCAACGCTATTCTAGGCTATACACCATAGCATAGCCTTTTCCTTGTACATCGATTGATATGGCTGCTATGTGGATGTGTTACATACACATATTTACTTCAATTGGCCCGTACTTGGTGAATCAATTATCGGTGGACATACGTGGACAAAATGACGGATTAAGCAAGGGCGAATGAATAGTCGTGAAATAGATAGGCATATTTAAGAGCGCATTTGGTACACACGGAACCCACATATTTAACGAAACAGCGTATGCTAGCTATATCACCGGTCGATACACGTAAAGTAGTGACGTCACACGGCGATATGGAGACGTCGTGTGCGACATAGACGCTGCAAACATTAGAGCTACATTTCTAGTTACAGTATGTTATTCCTCCTCTGTAGCATTTAAAAAATTGAACCTACATTCTCAGTTACGCTACGCTATTCCTACACTGCAGCGTTTAAGCTAAAACCCAACGCTGTTCTGTCTCAGCCCAGTTTTCTATCTCTACCAACGAGCGGACCAGTTGCTTCATTCACTAACAACTATTGCGTGGCACCTAATATAAGTAAATAAAAATAATTCTTTTCGTTGTGCCTTAGCCGCAGCGTCAGCCCCGCTTCCAGCTATATCTCCCTAACGCTATATAATATCGGCCGTGGCTGCGTGCGTGTAAGTCATATGTTTACAACTACACGGCGGTAAGACGGCTGCAACGCGATCGTCTGTGGCTTCCCATACGCAGAGCGCACGGCGTGGCCCGCGTTACCAAAATAGCGGCTAATCTATGAGACGGGCCCGGCAGGAGGTTTTCAACGTCGATTTCAGCGCGCCTGCCTATGAGCGGGGAGATGATGCGACGTACAGCACGCACGCGGGAGACGATCCGGGGAGTATTTTTCGCGCCGAAAAATGTTTTCCAGACCCAACATCGCCGCAGCGATCACGTGACCGTAGTGTTATGGTCGCAGATAAATCTCGGAGATTTACCTCTCTATAGTGAGATTGGTCGCGAACCTGTACAGTTGTGTCACGTATTATTAAATTAGTGATAATTACTAAAATGGTAATTGCGTGCGGAGAGAATAACGATCATACAATTAGCAGATGCTACTTTAGTACTTGTATTAAAATAATGACTTAATTTAAATAATTAATCCCCACTGGCACCTGCAATACAGTCGCCTTCAAAATTACCATCATGCAATTGTCACCACACATATATAGCACACATAAGGTAATGACCTAGTAATAACGCAAATAACTCCAAACTAGTGACATAGCTATGAAGCCGATATTGTTTCAGCAACTGGTAGAAAAACACGGTGTTTCTAACACACTGCCATCCGATCTTTTTTTCATCGCAACCGTAAATACACCATTTTTTCTCTGGCTGGATGCCAAAAATGCTGCTACGTGTCATTTTTTAATAATGATATAACGTTATTCGAGTATTTTCTAAAATAATTTTTATTTCATAAATGTCGTAACTAAAACAAAATTAATGTGTTGGTAAACATATGACATTATTACAATATATTTTATGGTTAGAAAGTGCATATATTAGTGGCTATACGCAACGATGATTTATTGTGAGGAATATTTATCGAAAAGGTAGAAACCAGCCATAATTACACACAAGTTTGAAAACTAACAGCATACAATAATAAAACCAAAATACATTTTACTTGATTTCGGAGATCTTTCTACCACCATTGGAAACCTCGTTCTGGCCAAAACCAGCTATAGCAGCAATGGAAACGTGGGCCCAAACCGCCACCAGCTGGTGCTATCGCGAACGTTTTTGTATAATTAACGATAGTTTATTAGTATTTTATGTCCGATAACCACAGGATATATAGCTGTTCATTTGCCGTAGTTTTATTTAAAAGGTAAAGTAGGTATTCTATTTGTGGTTGAATGGTGGTCATTATGTCAGATTTAACGGAGCTGAAAAATTGTCAAACATTGTTTGTTTGTACAAGCCTGAGATCTAAGCGCATGTCGTTTTTTCTTACATTTAATAGACGAGGCTGTCTGGTTTACATTTTCCAGTGAAACTGTTTTAACTTTGCTTGTTAGTGCAGGTGCATGCATAGATATTTATTTAGCCAATCTCTTCATTCGAAATGGGTTCCGGTGCATCACGGTGCAGATCATTATTCATTTGATGCATACATTGATTACTTATTTAATTTTACAGACTAAATTCGAACATTAGACCTATATGCTCCAACAGTCGTAAATGATATGCAGCATCTATACGATATATATTTTGTATACGTTCCCCGAAATGATGGCGGGTTATATTTATCTCAGGCTGGCAAAATGTAAGCACGTAACCTATTCCTAGGACTTGGAGGAATGATTCAGAGGCATATACTCCGGTACATGAAGCGTAATGGAGCGTGCATGTATATGTAACATAGAAGTTTCTGCTCGCCTGTTACTCGTCTGTTACTGGCGTGGAAGTTTAAAATTAGCGGTTGTTTCCCGTCTTAACTGTATATTTTTCCTCGTTGTTGTACATACATAGGCACGCAGCCTCCACTCAGCTCTGCATTTACTACGCGCCAGTCCGTTTCTTCGGGCACTGCTCTCGTCTCATGCTCGTCTATCGGTGTCTCAGTATTTCGTTGAAAAAATACTTCTACGTATCCGGTTCATTGCCCCCAACGATCTACATGATATAACGACCTATGATAAACCCGCTAAATGTAATATTTCTGCGATACGCAAATGCTGTCTAACTTCTACTGAACGAGAGTTAAAACTTTCAAACTCTATCTACATTGCTACTTGCGAAAATCACTAGGCATGGTTTAATGATAGACACTAAATGATTTAGTGTTTGTCAATAAATGATTTAGTGACAGTCTAAATACCATTTGTGTCCCACCTCGCCTGCCAAAGACGCTATCGTTTACGTCGAAGTAGACAATTAACAAGGCAACTTGTATTTTTATAGAAGTATCTGCATCAACTTCTGTCCCAGTTCTATTTTCACATATAAATCAAATATGTTCAGGCAGGTCTTGAAGCAGAGAGAACATAAAGGCTTATATACGGTGTAAACGTAGAGAGCATAAATGGCCGGTGGCTAGTTGACAGAAACGTCGTATTGTTAAGTCTATAGTTAAGACTAATTTTGTTTCTTAACCAAAATAGTGCTGGTGTTAGTTGGATAGTGCTCGTGTTAGACAGGGTACCGATGGGGCTCGAGGAATGCTAAACTATATTTACCCGGCCGGGTAAGCGAGCTAAACCTCGCATTGTGTTCTTCTCTGTCGATCCAAAGTTTTAAACAATTCAATGGCTTCTGCAGAAGCAACCTAATTTCAATCAACTCGATATTAGTATTTACTACTACTACTATTTTCTTTTATGGTACTTCTACCAGCAGATCACAACAAGCCCATACATCGTGATTTTTTGTACGCTCATAGGGAGTTTGGCGTGGAGATCTACGAATGTCTATAAACGCCTTTGATCGCTGCTAAAACTGCCGACACCATTACTATTTATTTGATGTGCAAAAAGATGACCGAACAATTTCATGAACACACGGCCACGTGTCTTTTCATAAAACGTTTAAATCTGTAAAATTATCGTAACATTTTATACTGGTGCGTGTGCGCGCGCACATTGATGTAAATGCTACCAGCACATCCAAATACTATTGCAACGAGCAAGCCAAAAGTGCTTAAAAAACACAATAACTAAATATACACACAAAGCTCGCAGCTAATGTTAGTAAAATAACATAACCACACCTCGGGCCCGGAAATTCCTTTCCTAGTGAATACAATTATGTCTTAAAACTATTTATTATTTGTAAAGAATTTGTTGCGAAGGTGCGAGCAAAACATACACCTGTGCGGCACAGACACTTGTGCGTCTGTTTCTCTGTCTGTGTGCGCATGTGTGTTTGTGTGTGTGTGTGTGCGCGCGCGCGTGTTGTGTGTGTGTGCGTGCGTGCGTGCGCCGCGGTGTGTGTGTGTGCGTGTGTGTAATGTGTGTGTGTGTGTGTGTGTGTGTGTGTGTGTATGTGTGTGTACGTGTGTGTGTGTGTGTGTGTGGTGTGTGTGTGTGTGTTGTGTATGTGTGCGTGTGCGCGCGCGTGTGTGTGTATGCTGTGTGTGCGCGCGTGCGTGCGTGCGTGCGTGCGTGCATGCGTATCCTGCTCTATCAATATCCCCCACCCGCACACAGACACGCTGACTTCTATACTCCTTACTGCTTTTTTTACTCGTTACTGCTTATTTTGCTTGCCCATTTTCATGTGGCTACTTACGTGCTCTGCGTGCGTCAATGATTCTTTTCTCATATATATCACAATACCTGCCACGCAAGCTTAAAGGCATACTAGGCCCATTGATTATGCAATGTTGACTAATGCTAGAGTAACTAGCACCTTGTGTAGTTAATAAGTACATAACCTTATAGCCAAACGCGTAATCTATTAGTGTGTCCAATATCACTGCTGGTTACATTACAAGCAAGACTTGAAATCGGTTGTTGATATTCATCCAGGAGTCAAGCGATGCCGTAAACATTTGTGCGGCCCGTATGTTTTGGACGCCAGATAAAATGGAGGTGACAGCGGTGTAACCACGGCCACGGACTAAATATGGAAATGGAGTAAAACACACGTACTA